ATTAGCAGAAGGGGTGACGTATCTCTTGATGGCCATTCATTGATGTCCGATATGTCTCTCAGTGGTCATGCGGCCGAGACAAGTGAATCTATTGTAGGCTTCCCCGAAGCCGTGGTAATTGTGGTGGAAATGTCACTTGGAAGCCACGGGGCGTTGGCAGTGACGAAAAGATTGTCTCTCGATGGCAGAGCAGCCGGGATATCGGCAAAAGTGGTGACGTGTCTCTCGATGGCCATACGGCTGCGACAAGAGGGCGATATGTCTCTTGATTGCCATGGGGCCGAGACAATGTTAATTTGTAGGCCTTCAGCCGAGATAGTGACCGAAAATGTCAGTTTGTAGGCTTCCCCGTAGCCGAGGCAATATCCGATTTCCACTGTAGGGACACCCAGAGCCGAAGTAGTGACCGAAATTACTTTTGTAGGCTCCCGCAAAGCCGAGGTAATGTCAGATGTGTCTCTCGATGGCCATGCGGGCGAGACAAAACTGGATTCAGTCTAAATGTAAGACCCGCAGCTGAGGTAACAAACAACTAAGAGAACTTATCTACGAAGAATCACTGGATGTCGGAGAGGAAATCCAACTGATCAAGAATCCTGATGTTAGCTGATTACTACGTTTTTTTTTTTTTGCAGTTCCATTGGGGGGAGGGGGGGGGGTAGGTTTTGCTTGTTGTGTGTCAGTGATGATTTGGTTTGTGTTTAAATGCATTGTTCTACCGAGGAGCGGATTAGATGGAGTTTATTCTACTCTGATGGTGTCTCAGACAGCAGCGCACATGCCAATGTATTTCAATGATATCGCTATCATTGATGTAGATTGGGGGAGGGGGTGGCTGTAGTGATTTTACAGATAGTAGTTAAAACTCGAACGCAAATGTTTACTGGATGTTTCATGACTACTGCAATTTTTGGTGTAATTTTTTATTTGGGACTTATACGTTCCTTATTCAGTTTCCTTGAGACGAGTTATGCTTTGCTCATATGTCAATGACAGTTATTTTTGGGTGTAAATTAATGAATGATGCTGCAAGTAACTAGTGATTACGTGATGTCTGTAGGATAATTTTATTTTAGGTGGCTATGGCCGTTATCTCTGTGGAATGTAGAACAGGAGTTGGAGGAGGATTTGTAGACAATAATTGTTATCTATTGTGTAGTTGCCGGGACGTCAAAAAAAAAAATTATAATAATGGGCGAACATGTAACAGGCTCGAGAACACCAAAGACTGCTGTTCAGCAGCTTGACGATTTTGGTTTGTTCAGCGGATACCCTGGTTTACAAACGCAGAAAAGTCTGGCCACTGAATAAAAAAAAGGCCAGCTCACTTGCTTTTGGGGCTTTTTGACTTCGGACGTACACTGTAGAGACCTATCCAGCTGTTGTGGCCCTGCACATTGGGCTAGCCAGCATGGGAATGGGCAACTACAGGGAAAGGCCTGTTTATGACCGATTTCCCTGGCTGGTCTCACAGTGCATTTCATTTGATTAGGTGGTGTTAGATTTCATTTCCATTGTATATCCTCGCTAGAAGATAGTTTGATGGCAGGTTGCTATAAGTGATTTGTTGGCATATTAAAGCCTAACGTACATGTTAAATATGTTTCTGTGCTTTGCTATTGTTGAGGTAATCTCGCTGAGCATATGGTGTCATTACTATATTTCCTTGTTAGCTGGAGATGATTAGAACTTTAGATTCTGGTCGAGCACGTTGGTTGTTGGTAATGTATTATTTGTGAAGTGTACGTTAATTCTGTGTTTAGTTCAGTAAAATAAACAGCTGTTTAATGCGATGATTATATTTCATTTGCTTAATTTAATTTAGGATTTGTAGCTGTGCATGTGGTTCGTCTAGGTGTGTGCAGCCATGTAGTTAGGTTGTAGCCATGTAACTCACAACACAGATATTCTTTGTCTGGGTCTTAGTAAAATATTCTAGGATCTCTGCACAGAGGAACCCTTGTCTTTTCTTTACTTTCATGTTTAGCGAGAAACTATTACTTTTGTTCTAATCACAATTTTCCGTTATCTCCCCCACTCCTGTGTTTTTCTCTTCTCTCTAGCACAGTAGAAACAGCAGAGATGACATACAATGAAAGAAGACAGCAATGTGTGTGTTAGGTATAGAAACAACTGAGATGACATACAATGAAATATGACAGCATTGGGTTTCTGTGTTAGGTATAGAAACAACTGTGATGACATACAATGAAATAAGACAGCCTTGTGTCAGGAATAGAAACAACTGAGATGACATACAATGAAAGAAGACAGCATTGTGTGTGTGTATGTATTAGGTGAAGAAACAACAGAGATGACAATAAAAGAAGACAACACTGTGTATGTGGGGGCGGGGTTAGCATTTATAGAAACAATAGAGATGACATACAATGAAAGAAGACAGCATTGTGTCTCTGTGTTAGGTATAGAAACAGTAGAGATTACACAATAAAAGAAGACAACACTGTATGTGTGTGTGTGTATATATATAATATAGATGTGTGTGTGTGTGTGTGAGAGAGAGAGAGAGAGAGAAAACATACAATAAAAGAAGCCAAGCTGTACATGGGTTTTCAACTGATGCTTTATTTGGTATAAAAATAGAATTGGTTATGTTGTTTTGTATTTCCATAATAAATAATATCGATAACTGTCAGGTGAGCAATCTGTGAGGTACCGTAGAGGTTAGATTGATTATATGTGTGGCTGGGTGAGGGATGGCAGTATGTACATGGCAATAAACAGAATACATGTTAAATCTTGGCAAATAATATGTACACTGCAATAACAGACAAAATACATGTTCAATCTAGGCATTAAAATATGAAAACTGACATAATACATGTTAAATCTAGCCAAAATAATATGAAAACTTTAATAAGAGATACAATACATGGTTAAATCAGACAGATTACAAGTGAACACTAGTCAACATAAATAAAACTACACGCAAATGTGGTCAAGGCCCTTTAGGTGTCACCAGAGGGTCTGGCCGGCTCACTACACTCAGAGAAAAGGCAAGATGGACATAAAACCAGATTGTGACTGGTACCATCAGTATTAGAACTCTGCACTATCTGCTGATAAAGACAAAACATATACGGGAATGCGCCGAGTGCTGTGATGTCAATTCTTGACTCAACTCAACATATAAAAGCACATTGATAACAAATAGAAAATAATGTGGATAAAGATAGCCAACAGAATGTATTATTACGGTAGACCAGATATCAATGTGCACGTCAGTCAAATGACTGGACAAATGACTGCAGTCATTTAGTCACAGATGACCGGTCCTTCGAAAACTGACCATCACAGCTGTGACAAACCACCATCCAGACTAGCCAGTGTATGCCATCCAACAACATCCAGACTAGCCGGTGTATGCCATCCAACAACATCCAGTTTAGCCAGTGTATGCCATCCAACAACATCCAGTTTAGCCAGTGTATGCCATCCAACAACATTCAGTCTAGCCAGTGTATGCCATCCAACAACTCCCAGACATGACTAACTTCCCTGAGGCTTCGGTCAATGGAAGAGTGGACACACACAGTCAGTCCAGCTACAGACAGAAGTGAGTTCTCACAGACTGCCAGTCCAGCTACAAACAGAAAAGAGAAGACTTTATACAGTGAACCAGCAGAACTACAGACAGAAGCAATAAGTCCCAATGCGCATGCAGGACACCCAGTGGTGACTAAACCAATGTGCAAACAGGCAAGACACCCAGTGGTGACTAAACCAATGTGCAAACAGAGAAGAGGTCATTTCTCAGCAAGCAGTATTACAAGGAATAAATGGTCATTCATGATAATGAAGTGAAGAAACACCAGCCACCTCTAGCTGTCACCCACAGACTGTTCTATGTAAGCAAGCTCCATACGTATTGCCAGCCTATAGATAAAGCTAGGACCCGCCTCTTGTCCATAAACTGTTCTATGGAAGCAGGCTCCACACACACTAGATACATATACACATGGTAAAGGCATTGCCAGCCTATAGATAAAGCTGGTACCTGCCCCTTGTCCATAAACTGTTCTATGGAAGCAAGCTCCACACACACTAGATAAAAATACACATGGTAAAGGCATTTCCAGCCTGTAGATAAAGCTGGTAATCACCTCTTGTCTATCAAATGTCTACGGACGCAAGCTGAACAGACAAGGGTCTCAAACTGGAGTTTGTATGAGCTATGTGTGACTAGCCCCAGATTTGAACCGGCCAAGTGGCAAGACTTTCCGGAACATCTGTGGCAACCATTTACAGGCAGGGTCCACCTCGGAGCACTGGTAAATTTAACATCTCGTTGATGGAGATCTGAACTCGAGACCACCATGAGCTTGTTAGTTACTGTTCTAGAGCACAGCCCTACAAACATATCCACGGATAGATATTACTGCACAACCCTACAAACATATCAATGGATACATATTGCTGCACAACCCTATAAACATATCCACGGATAGATATTACTGCACAACCCTACAAACATATCCATGGATATATATTGCTGCACAACCCTACAAACATATCCATGGACAGAAACTACTGCACAACCCTACAAACATATCCATGGATATATATTGCTGCACAACCCTACAAACATATCCACGGACAGATATTACTGCACACTTCTGGTCCATGTACACCTGCTAGTTGTCCTCCGGTACACATGCCAGCTGCTTTCATGTACACTGCAGACTCACATCCTAAGACCAGACTTCTCTGTGGTGTTATTCTCAAAAGAAGACTATCTTGGAAATTGTCTGCCAGTCTGTGTGGTAGATGTAGTTATGTGTGTGGAGTAGATGTAGAGTTTTGTGTGTATGTATAAGTTGTGAGTGTGCTTATGTGACACATAAAGGTGTGTGTGTAATACACATAGAGGTGTGTGTGTATAATACATCTAGAGCAGAGCATGCGGTCAGCTGCAGAGCTGACTTGTGAAGACTGCATTTATTGAACACAAGAACAAGTTACAGCACACAGCATGATGGTCACAATTTATGCACAATGACCCCTGGTCGATGAGAAGAAGAGGTGATTGGACAATGCAGCAGTGTGGAGGATACTGGATACGTCTCGGACACATTCTTGCTACTGAAGCTGCTCATCTGCTGCTGGAGATGACGATGGTGATGATGATGCATCGGGGAGTCGCGGCCAGAACTTTCAGACCTGGGCTCATCCTGGTCACTGCTGACTTCTCTCTCACTTTCCTCAACACTGGGCATGCTCTGTTCTGTATTCAAGTGCTTGTGTTCATCTTCATTGAAGTGACTCAACAGCCGGTCACCCTCAATCTGTCTGATAGCCTCAACCAACTTCTCCAAGTTCTGAGTGTTGTGGCTTCTCTGGTACATCATCTGCTCGTGGACTGTCCTGCCTTCTTGTCGCCGACGCAACTCCTCCTCTTCTCTCTGCTGCTGCAGCTGAGTCTGCTGTCTGTGGCGCCGCCTGGGGTGGTCACGATGGCAGTAGTTGTGGTGGTGGTAGCTGTGTTGGTCTGTGGTTGTAGCGCTGGTCAAGGCTGGGGAAATTGTATCTGCCAGCAACCTGGTTTCTGTGGCAGAAATGGCTTCACCTGTAGTCACCGAGTCTTGTCTTTGATCAGATGAACCAGTCAGGGTCATCTGAGAACTGGAAGCACCTAATGGCTCTGAGGTGTGTGTCGACGCTCTTTGATCCAGGCTTGGTGAAACGACTCGTGGCGAATTCAAGTATTCATACCGAGCAGTGAATGTGTGGCCAGGCACTTCCTGGTTGATAACCTGCCTGTTGTACAGGGACTCGGGCGCATGGAGACTTCGCTGGTCCAGGCTGCTAGGCTGCATCTCCTGGAGACAAATAAACTGATTTATGCAACAAACTTTCTAACCAACAGAAACAAATTTACAGATTCATGCAACAAACTTTCCAACCAACAGAAACAAATTTACAGATTCACGCAACAAACTTTCTAACCAACAGAAACAAATTTACAGATTCATGCAACAAACTTTCTAACCTACAGAAACAAATTTACAGATTCATGCAACAAACTTTCTAACCTACAGAAACAAATTTACAGATTTATGCAACAAATTTTCTAACCTACAGAAACAAATTATTTCTCACCTACAGAAACTGATTTATGTAACAAACTGTCTCCCCAACAGAAACATATTTATGCAACAAACTGTCTCACCAACAGAAACAGATTTATGCAACAAACTGTCTCACCAACAGAAACAGATTTATGCAACAAACTGTTTCACCCATAGAAACGGATTCACACGCGCACACAGACTGTCTTAAACAGTATCATCATCAAATGTTGACCATCAGGCATGCATGACCAAACCTGTCTGCATCCGCAAACAACACGTCCATTCATGTCTTGGAACTGTTTAATGCACAAAACAGGACAATCAAAGAAAATGAACAGCAACCATTTGCAATGACAAACTCTTACACCGATGGCACAGACAACTCACACTCATGGCACTGACAAGCCCTTACACCAAGGGCACAGACAACAACTTACACTCATGGCACTGACAAGCCCTTACACCAAGGGCACAGACAACAACTTACACTCATGGCACTGACAAGCCCTTACATCGAGGGCACAGACAACAACTTACACTCATGGCACTGGCAAACCCATACATCGAGGGCACAGACAACAACTTACACTCATGGCACTGACAAGCTCTTACACCGAGGGCACAGACAACTTACACTCATGGCACCGACAAGCTCTTACACCAAGGGCACAGACAACTTACACTCATGGCACTGACAAGCTCTTACACCGAGGGCACAGACAACTTACACTCATGGCACTGACAAGCTCTTACACCAAGGGCACAGACAACTTACACTCATGGCACTGACAAGCTCTTACACCGAGGGCACAGACAACTTACACTCATGGCACTGACAAGCTCTTACACCGAGGGCACAGACAACTTACACTCATGGCACCGACAAGCTCTTACACCAAGGGCACAGACAACTTACACTCATGGCACTGACAAGCTCTTACACCGAGGGCACAGACAACTTACACTCATGGCACTGACAAGCTCTTACACCGAGGGCACAGACAACTTACACTCATGGCACTGACAAGCTCTTACACCGAGGGCACAGACAACTTACACTCATGGCACCGACAAGCCCTTACACCAAGGGTACAGACAACTTACAATCATGGCACTGACAAGCCCTTACACCAAGGGTACAGACAACTTACACTCATGGCACTGACAAGCCCTTACACCGAGGGCACAGACAACTTACACTCATGGCACTGACAAGCCCTTACACCAAGGGCACAGACAACAACTTACACTCATGGCACTGACAAGCCCTTACACCAATGGCACAGACAACAACTTACGCTCACGGCACTGACAAGCCCTTACACCAAGGGCACAGACAACTTACACTCATGGCACTGACAAGCCATTACACCAATGGCACAGACAACAACTTACACTCATGGCACTGACAAGCCCTTATACCAATGGCACAGACAACAACTTACACTCATGGCACTGACAAGCCCTTACACCAAGGGCACAGACAACTTACACTCATGGCACTGACAAGCCCTTACACCGAGAGCACAGACAACTTACACTCATGGCACTGACAAGCCCTTACACCAAGGGCACAGACAACTTACACTCATGGCACTGGCAAGCCCTTACACCAAGGGCACAGACAACTTACACTCATGGCACTGACAAGCCCTTACACCGAGGGCACAGACAACTTACACTCTTGGCACTGACAAGCCCTTACACCAAGGGCACAGACAACAACTTACACTCATGGCACTGACAAGCCCTTACACCAATGGCACAGACAACAACTTACGCTCACGGCACTGACAAGCCCTTACACCAATGGCACAGACAACAACTTACACTCATGGCACTGACAAGCCCTTACACCAATGGCACAGACAACAACTTACACTCATGGCACTGACAAGCCCTTATACCAATGGCACAGACAACAACTTACACTCATGGCACTGACAAGCCCTTACACCAAGGGCACAGACAACTTACACTCATGGCACTGACAAGCCCTTACATCGAGGGCACAGACAACAACTTACACTCATGGCACTGGCAAGCCCTTACACCGAGGGCACAGACAACAAATTACACTCATGGCACTGACAAGCCCTTACACCAATGGCACAGACAACAACTTACACTCATGGCACTGACAAGCCCTTACACCAAGGACACAGACAACTTACACTAATGGCACTGGCAAGCCCTTACACCAAGGGCACAGACAACAACTTACACTCATGGCACTGACAAGCCCTTACACCAAGGGCACAGACAACTTACACTAATGGCACTGGCAAGCCCTTACACCAAGGGCACAGACAACAACTTACACTCATGGCACTGACAAGCCCTTACACCGAGGGCACAGACAACTTACACTCATGGCACTGACAAGCCCTTACATCGAGGGCACAGACAACAACTAACACTAATGGCACTGGCAAGCCCTTACACCAAGGGCACAGACAACTTACACTCATGGCACTGACAAGCCCTTACATCGAGGGCACAGACAACAACTGACACTAATGGCACTGGCAAGCCCTTACACCGAGGGCACAGACAACTTACAATCATGGCACTGACAAGCCCTTACACCAAGGGCACAGACAACTTACACTCATGGCACTGACAAGCCCTTACACCAAGGACACAGACAACTTACACTAATGGCACTGGCAAGCCCTTACACCGAGGGCACAGACAACTTACAATCATGGCACTGGCAAGCCCTTACACCGAGGGCACAGACAACTTACAATCATGGCACTGACAAGCTCTTACACCGAGGGCACAGACAACTTACACTCATTGCACTGATATGAGATGCCTGAGAATGCACCAAAGTCAGAAACTGGGCCTCCAGGAGGCGGTTGTGTTGCTCTAGCACCGTGTAGCGCTGCCGCTCCAGTTCTAGCTGGCGGCCCAAGGCCAAGTTCTCCTGCTGCAGTTCCGACCCATTGTCTTCAGAAGCATCAGAGAGAGAGCAGACGCCCTCATCCGAGGATTCTACTTGAAGGGAGACACAATATTAGGTTAAAATATTAACCAAATGTTGTTAAATTTGTTTTCATAGGCTGACAATCTGTTGTTACAATATGTACTGACTGGCTGACTATCTGTTTTACAATAGGTACTGATAGGCTGACCATTATTACCATACGTACTGAAAGGCTGACTATTGTTACAAAACGTACTGATAGGCTGACCGCTGTTACAATGCGTAGTCATAGGCTGACCACTGTTACAATACGTAGTGATACACTGACCAACTGTTGTTACAACCCCGGCACCCACATACACTAGCACCCCTACATACAAATCCAGACACACACACACACACCACTGATTCAAGTCCCCTCCCCACACAAAACACCTAATTCAAATCTTCCCCCCCCCCCACCACACACACACACAAAACACCCCACTGATTCAAGTCCGGCCCCCCCCCCCCCCACACACACACCACTGATTCAAGCCCCCCCCCCCCCCGCCACACACACACACCACTGATTTAAGTCCCCCCCCCCCACACACACACACAAAACACCCCACTGATTCAAGTCCCCCCTCCCCACACACACAAACACACCACTGATTCAAGTCTCCCCCCCCCCCCACTGATTCAAGTCTCCCCTCCCACACACAAACACCCCACTCATTCAAGCGCGCCCCCCCCCCTGATTCAAGTCCCCCCCCCCCACTGATTTAAGCCCCCCCCCCCTCCACTGATTCAAGCCCCCCTACACACACACACAAACACCCCACACACAAACACCCACCTGATTCAAGCCCCTCCCCCCCACACACAAACACACCACGGATTTAAGGTCCCCCTCCCTCCAAACAAACACCCCCCTGATTCAAGCCCCCCACACACACAAACACCACCCCACTGATTCAATCCCCCCCCCCACACAAAACACCCCACTGATTTAAGCCCCCCCCCCACACACACCCCACTGATTCAAGGCCCCCCCCCCCACAAACATTCCACCGATTCAAGTCTCCCCCGCCCCTCCACACCCCACTGATTTAAGTCCCCCCCCCCACACACACACCCCACTGATTCAAGTCCCCCCCCCCCCACACACATAAACACCCCACTGTTTAAGTCCCCCCCACACACAAACACCCCCCTGATTCACCCCCCCCCCCCCCCCACTGATTCAATTCCCCCCCCACACACACAAACATTCCCCTGATTCAAGCCCCCCCCCCCCCCCGCACACACACACAAACACCACACTGATTCAAGTCCCCCCCGCACACACACAAACATTCCACTGATTCAAGTCCCCCCCCCCCCACACACACACAAACACCACACTGATTCAAGTCCCCCACACACAAACACCCCACTGATTTAAGTCCCCAACATACACCACAGATTCAAGTCCCCCCCCCCCCACACTGATTCAAGTCCCCCCACACTGATTCAAGTCCCCCCACACCCATTGATTCAATCCCCCCCCCCACACACAAACACCAGACTGATTCAAGTCACCCACACACAAACACCCCACTGATTTAAGCCCCAAACATACACCACAGATTCAAGTTCCCCCCCCCCCCCACACTGATTCAAGTCCCCCCACACCCATTGATTCAATCCCCCCCCCCCACACAAACATCCCATTGATTCAAGTTCCCCCCCCCCCCCTTCCACACACTAACAACTACATCTGACTGTCATTGTCCTCACAAATTGCCACTGGTTTTTTGTTTACCTGTGTCCCGTTTTTTCCGTTTTGACGGAGGAGGGGAACTGGACACATAGGCGTCAGTGACCGGTCGGTCTTGACCCAGTCCAGACAGCAAGCCTTGGGTGTGGTCCAGCTGCAGCTGCAGCCGGCCCTTCTCCTTCTCTAGGCTACAGATGTAATCGCTGGCCTGCTGCAAGATGGCCGCCTGCAACGATGAAATACAACGATCAGTACACGGATGTCTTCGTTCAAGTGATAGACTCAAGGCTGTGTGTCTGTGAGCAGGGTCGGGGATAAATGAACACCGATATAATCCCTTTGGAGACAGTGCCTTATCTGGAGTTTCAGTGCCAAGAAGACGGAGCCCCGGAGCGGGAGTCTCTTAATTTACACGTGGGAATGACCCGAGTACAATGGTGTCAATTCTGGATTCATTCATTCATAAGATGCCCTTCGAGCTTCTGCGTGTGCTGAGAAAGAAGGAAGACTGTCATATTGATATGCCAGAATCACAAGCTCTACAAACCTCATGTTGTTTGTTCTGGTCTTTCTGGGGCGGGCTGGCATAAGACTAGCTGGGAATATATTTGAAGCTGGGTGAACAAAGCATACCTTGGCCTGCCTTGCGGCCCATGGCCAGCGGAGACGCTTGTAGCCCCCCCCCCCCACCACCACACGTAAAAACATGCGGCTACTCTATCCAGGCCACACGTATCGTTGAAATGTGTCCCAGCTTCCTAGAGCCGCAAGCCCAACGGTTGGTATCACACACACGCCAGCAGCCTCCGCCACTGGTTGTGGGTATCACGTGATGCGTCCAAACAGTGGCGGAGAAAGAGACGGAGGAGACGGTATAGTTTTACTGAATGAACAGACTACAGGAAAGCCGCAGTTAGTCACTCACCATGATTCATTCACTGTACGGGCAGGTGTTCACAAACGCAGGTTGGTTGACGCTGCTGAAACAATCAATCCATCTAGTCGTTGACAGCCAACTTCACTGTTTTAGACAAGTGCACTAGGATACTGTCCATCGACAGACATTGCTGTTTATCTGTGACAAGTGATGTCAGCCAGTACTTTTCCCTACCGGGGGGGGGGGGGGGGGGGGGGTGCTTACATACCAGATTATGCAAACAATCCTGGCACGGACAGTTCTTGTACTGTGTACAATTTTGGGGTTTGGCGATCCAACACGCGCTCTTTTCTGATTTGTTTCTCGTTCTGTTCTGACATGCCGCCGCAAATTTAAAAAAAAACGAGTTGCGTGATGAAATTAATTTTTAGTGAGGAAGAGCTGCACACATTCGTTGACAGCACTCTCTCCTGTCTCCACTGATGCAGTGACAACATTAACACAGACTCAACAGCCAGAGGTCGGGGAGAAGAGACCAGAGATTCGGTCGTTGTTGGGTCTACGAACTGCACTCTCCTCATAAGCAAGAGTCAGTCAGGAATATTTCTTGCACACAAAATGTAGTATGTAAGTTTCACAGATAAGTGTGATTGGTCACCCCCCCCCCCCCCCCAGTCAGCAGACGAGGCTTTGCTAACTGACGATGCTGGGCACTGTGCCACATCCAGCAGGTCAACGTGGCAGCCATCTGGACACATGTAATCTTGGCTAGTCACAAGAGAGGACCCCATCTGGACACATGTAATCTTGGCTGGTCACAAGAGAGGACCCCATCTGGACACATGTAATCTTGGCTAGTCACAAGAGAGGACCCCATCCGGACACATGTAATCTTGGCTGGTGACAAGAGAAGACCCCATCCGGACAAGTTATCTTTGCCCAAACAACACTCGAGTTCAGGAGCTACTTCATAATCTTTTAGTCTAGCTAGAGCAGCGGTTCTTATCATGTGGGACCCCCTTTTGTGGATCGAACGACCCTTTCACACGGGTCGCCTGAGACCATCAGAAAACACAAAGTGATTGAAGTCATAAAGTAGCAATGGAAACAATTGTATGGGTGGAGGTCGCCACAAGATGAGGAATTGTATTCAAGGGTCGCGGTATTAGGAAGGTTGAGAACCACTCAGATAGAGTATCATCAGATAACTGCAGTTCCAACTTACATTGCACAAGTCAGCCCATAGTTTACTCCGTTCCTATACCAGCGGAAACCACACAGAACGCTCATCAATGTCTCTAGTGACACAACCGAAACAGTCCGACCAAGTCCCCAAATGGGGTGTCGACCTACTTGCAGTGATAGCAACATTAGCAGACAGTCGACAGTTACCACAATCTCGCTTCCCGCCTCCACACACACACACAGAGGTAAAATCCATACGCCAGTGATTGTGAATGGCGGCTGGTAACGAGTTGGCAGACAGACTGACACGACTTGTGAATGAATGAACGAGTTTTTCCCTGGCGTCATGACCGACAGGCAACTGCCAGCGCCCCCAACCGTCAGCCTACACTGTCAGTGCCTGGTCTACAGGTAGGTTCAATAAACGCATCTATCATTACCAAACCTTCTGTCCATTCTCAGCAATCACCGGCTGTGAACTCGGACAGAAAGTTGGTGTTGGTCCCGTTCCAGAACTAGAGTTTTGCGTGCATACTGGTTTTACATATGTTTATTTCTATGCAGATTGTAGGTTCCTCGGCTTTCAGGCAAATACACTCAGACTTTGAATGAAACAACCCTAATTAGTCGCATTTGACGACATGATATCAGGGCAGTGGGTCTCCCCTACCCCACCCAGGGCCCCGAAACCTACACGGGGAGATAGGTCTACGAGTGTGGGAGACGATCCATGGAAGCCATGTCTCTTGACTGGACGTAGCACTAGTTCATGTATACAGACAAACATCTTGCGGTGTCTGGGCTGTCTTACACGGTGGCAGCGATCTCTGTCTGGGCTGTCTCTTACGGTGTGGGCAATGTTGCCACTTTGGATTTTTTTACATCCGGATCTAGATGTTTCCCCAGTTCATCTAGATGGTAGATGTAATTCTAGAGGTTTTTCATTTAGAGTTACATGTTTTTTTAAGATATTTTTTCTTCTTTCAATGTCAGTTTAATAATTACTGTATGAAATATTCATTGCACATTTGTTGTTTTTGTCTGGGCACGTACACTGTGGTAACTGCGATTACTTAAACTCTGAGATCACTGGGGTCAATGCTCAACAATCTGGCAGCCCCGGTACTAATTAGGAGAGCGCGTAAATCATACTGTGTTTGAACTGTATCCTCACTGCGTTGTGAATTATAGCTGTGATGCCGACTTTGTTGTTCTTTTTTGTCATTTTTAAAATAATTGCTCACCTTCATTTAAGTCTTCCACTTTCAAAAACCTTTCAACATGCCAAAAGTAAAGCAGTATGAGCAAACATTTCCGGAAGTGTGGCTTCATGATGACATAATCCCGGGGGATACGACTAAGGCTCGATGTGAGTACTACAAGTGTGAAATTAAAGCGAAAATACCAGACTTCAAGAGTCATGCAGAGACTAAAAAGGCATAAAACTTCGGTTCCAGGGACTGGTAACATAAAATGAAGAGAACTTAAGAAAACGCTGTCAGGATTTTCTTGTCTTATTATTCAAGCATCTGAAACAGAGACTTCCTGAAAATCTAGATGTATTAAAAATATTTCACTCTTTTATGTGAGCAACATACTTCAGCCAGTATAGAATATACCTAAATACTGTGACGTTATGAAATTGTTAGGGGCTACAGATAATAGTTTGGCGGAAGCAGAATGTCAATTAACCAAAATAAACTTGGTTGACTGGACAAACAAAACAGAAACTGAAGCGTTTTAGAGTGAGACAATTTAAAGATGCCTCAGGACAGTCCATTCTGTAAGCTCTTTGAATGTGCCATGATACTACCCTGTTCGAATGCTGACGTAGAAATAGTTTTCAGTGCTATGAATTATATCAAATCCGACCTAAGAAATAGGTTGCAACTTGACTTCTTAAATGCTATCTTGACAATAAAATCTGCCTTGATGAGAGTAGGAAAATGCTGTTCAAATTATCAGCTCCCTGATTGATGAGACTAGGAAAATGCTGTTCAAATTATCAGCTCCCTGATTGATGAGACTAGGAAAATGCTGTTCCACTGATCCGCTCCCTGATTGATGAGACTAGGAAAATGCTGTTCCACTGATCCGCTCCCTGATTGATGAGACTAGGAAAATGCTGTTCCACTGATCCGCTCCCTGATTGATGAGAGTAGGAAAATGCTGTTCCACTGATCCGCTCCCTGATTGATGAGAGTAGGAAAATGCTGTTCCACTGATCCGCTCCCTGATTGATGAGAGTAGGAAAATGCTGTTCCACTGATCCGCTCCCTGATTGATGAGAGTAGGAAAATGCTGTTCCACTGATCCGCTCCCTGATTGATGAGACTAGGAAAATGCTGTTCCACTGATCCGCTCCCTGATTGATGAGAGTAGGAAAATGCTGTTGAAATGATCAGCTTGTCCCTGATTGTGTATGAGCAGGGACTGGGATAGCTAAACCATACCAGAGTCATTATTGATCTAAAGCTTCTTCATCATCCAAGCTAAGTTTATCCTGTCGGTCGGGGCGATGTCTGTCTAGGCTGTCACAGACTGTGGGGGCGATGTCTGTCTGGGCTGTCACACACGGTGGGGCGATGTCTGTCTGGGCTGTCACAGACGGTGGGGGCGATGTCTGTCTGGGCTGTCACAGACGGTGGGGCGATGTCTGTCTGTGCTGTCACACACGGTGGGGGCGATGTCTGTCTGTGCTGTCACACACGGTGGGGGCGATGTCTGTCTGGGCTGTCACACACGGTGGGGGCGATCTCTGTCTGGGCTGTCACACACGGTGGGGGCGATGCGCCTGAAGATACACACATACAGCACAAATACACACATACAGCACAAATACACACATACAGCACAAATACACACATACGAGCCAAGAATGCACATACTGTGGGAAACCATGCTTAGACCGCCGCATGACGCTTCTGCTGATTTCCCATATAGAGCAATTCTCACATATACTGACTGCTGACGACCAGGGCTGCTAATACCCAGAGCTGTATTCCCCCCCCCCCCCTTCCCTGCCCCCAAGATCTGGGTTTTATATGACGCTTTGTCTTCAGATTTTGAAATCTTGGTGGGTTTTTTTTCTTCTTCAAATATATCCTTATATAAAGTGGGTAAATGTCTCGTTTCGTAACTATAAAATGTGTACTATTTATCCATCTTGGTTTTTTTGTTTTATGTTCTTTGCTTATGTATTGCTTGGGTTTATGGTCAGCTAAACTTGGGTTTTGGTAAAAAATCTCACTGGCAGCCATGTTCGCGACGAACAGTCAACACCGACACCGTATGGATAGACAACCGCTTCATAGGCGACCCCGTCTAGGCTACCCACTGAGGTCCTTCAGTCCTACAGCCTTCACTGCCAAGCACCACGCACGCCTTCACTTGTTCAAATAGTTGACACTGATAAAGACTGTGATAAGCCCCGGGCACATCGTACCAGGCACTGCTAACGTACCCATTGTCTAGTCAATGAATGGCGCGGCCAATCCCCGACATTCCTGCATCAGTGTGTCAATGAATGGCGCGGCCAATCCCCGACATTCCTGCATCAGTGTGTCAATGAATGGCGCGGCCAATCCCCGACATTCCTGCATCAGTGTGTCAATGAATGAATACCGCCGCAGTCAATGGGAGCGGGCGGGCGATACAAAAAAACAACAACACCTATCTCGAAATCCCACTCCCGTGTGCACCAACCAAAACTTTTTGAAAGCCGGTGAACAGGCTCTGGTCTGATCTGTTAGCGCTCTACCTGAGTCCGTTATCCCCGCAAGATCCCCCTTTAAAGAAGTGATGACATGCCTTTAGAGATGTTTCCACATTAGGTAACAAGCATCAAACACCGAGATCATCACAGATGTGGACTGTCGACAAATCTAACCAGGTCATAACTAGAGCGCTTCACCGACATTCATTCACACCATCGGGCAAACAGAATGGCTTTGATTCATTCAGCAAACATCGGGTAAACAGAATGGCTTTGATTCATTCAGCAAACATCGGCAATTAAAATCTACGCACTGCAGCCCTTCGCAAGCAGAACTACTTTCATTCAGTAAAACTGTACCAGAAAGTCGAGAACTTGCAACCACCTGACGGCAGTGAACTGTGCACCACAGACCCGGCCAACTCCGGACTATTCTCGGCATGTGAAAGATACAACAGGAGGGGCCGGTTATCTAGCGAGTTCGGGACAGAAACTTCCTTGTGGGGTCTCAGGTTACCCACGTTGCGCTTGTTGGGTGTGATGGTGGCGATCTGGTTCGTACCTATAACGCTTGGCAACTTCCAACATATCACCACAGCACGTACCCTGTGACACTATCACAACCCACTGTGACATGGCGATCACTACCCACTGTGACATGGCAACCACTACCCACTGTGACATGGCAACCACTACCCACTGTGACAGAGCCACTACCCACTGTCACATGACAACCACTACCCACTGTGACATTGACAACCACTATCCACTGTGACATGACAGCCACTACCCACTGTGACAACCACTACCCACTGTGACATGACAACCACTACCCACCGTGACATGACAACCACTACCCACTGTGACATGACAACAAATACCCACTGTGACATGACAACCACTACCCACTGTGACATAAGAACCACTACCCACTGTAACATGACAACCACTACCCACTGTGACATGACAACCACTACCCACTGTAACATGGCGACCACTACCCACAGTGACATGACAGCCACTACCCACTGTGACATGACAGCCACTACCCACTGTAACATGGCGACCACTACCCACTGTGACATGACGACCACTACCCACTGTGACATGGCGACCACTACCCACTGTAACATGGCGACCACTACCCACTGTGACATGACAGCTACTACCCACTGTAACATGGCGACCACTACCCACTGTGACATGACAGCTACTACCCACTGTAACATGGCGACCACTACCCACTGTGACATGACAACCACTACCCACTGTAACATGGCGACCACTACCCACTGTGACATGACAGCCACTACCCACTGTAACATGGCGACCACTACCCACAGTGACATGACAGCCACTACCCACTGTAACATGGCGACCACTACCCACTGTGACATGACAACCACTACCCACTGTAACATGGCGACCACTACCCACTGTGACATGACAACCACTACCCACAGTGACATGACAAGTACTGCACATTACACCAACTGAACTAACAAGACAACAAGTAAACGTGACACGTCACCAGGCTACTCTAAGAGGACATCAAACATCCCTAGAAAACACGACACCAGGCTACTCTAAGATGACATCAAACATCCCTAGAAAACACGACACCAGGCTACTCTAAGATGACATCAAACATCCCTAGAAAACACGACACCAGGCTACTCTAAGATGACATCAAACATCCCTAGAAAACACGACACCAGGCTACTCTAAAATGACATCAAACATCCCTAGAAAACACGACACCAGGCTACTCTAAGATGACATCAAACATCCCTAGAAAACACGACACCAGGCTACTCTAAAATGACATCAAACATCCCTAGAAAACACGACACCAGGCTACTCTAAAATGACATCAAACATCCCTAGAAAACACGACACCAGGCTACTCTAAGATGACATCAAACATCCCTAGAAAACACGACACCAGGGCTACTCTAAGATGACATCAAACATCCCTAGAAAAACACGACACCAGGCTACTCTAAAAATGACATCAAACATCCCTAGAAAAACACGACACCAGGCTACTCTAAAAATGACATCAAACATCCCTAGAAAACACGACACCAGGCTACTCTAAGATGACATCAAACATCCCTAGAAAACACGACACCAGGCTACTCTAAAATGACAACAAACATCCCTAGAAAACACGACACCAGGCTACTCTAAGATGACATCAAACATCCCTAGAAAACACGACACCAGGCTACTCTAAAATGACATCAAACATCCCTAGAAAACACGACACCAGGCTACTCTAAGATGACATCAAACATCCCTAGAAAACACGACACCAGGCTACTCTAAAATGACATCAAACATCCCTAGGACAGACACTGACAGCGGAAAGTTACCTTGCTGAGCTTCTCACCGTCCGTGTGAGGGATCAGGGCACGCAGGTTGCTGAAGCCGGCATTGATGCACTGCATGCGGCGGCGCTCGTTGCTGTTGGCAATCTCTCGCCTGACTCGCTTCTCATTCTCAGGGACCACTTGTGGTGGAGAGGCTGGCGCGGTCCTGCGGGCACACATGTCACAAACCTATACCCTCAATGTTCTCAGCGGTGTTATTTAATAATAATAAATAATAATACATGTCAGATTGATACTATAAATATTATGTGTGTTCTCTTTATTCTAAGTATTTTCAGATCGACATTATAAACGTTATGTGCTCTCTTTATATGTATGTATGCATGTCAGATTGATATTATGTTATATGTGTTCTTTTTATAAGTATAAATATGCATGTCAGATTGATATTATATGTGCTTTCTTTATATGTGTGGATGCATGTCAGATTGATATTATGTTATATGAGTTCTCTTTATATCTATGTATGCATGTCAGATCGATATTATAAATATTTTGTTCTTCTTCTTCTTCTTCACTTCCTCTTTTACCGCTGTGGGTGTCGAGGGAGATATAAGATAGCTCTTCTGGCTGCCTCGACCATAGGCACATCGTGCTGTTGTAGAGTTTCTCTGATGTTATCCTTCCATCTTGTTCTTGGTCTACCCCGTGCTCTACGTCCTTCTTCTCTTTCCATGTATGCTTTGTATGGTATGGTGTCACAGGGCATTCTCTCTAAGTGGGCAAACCATTTCACTTGCTGTCTTTGTATGTAGTCCAGAATTGGTTCTGTGCCGACTTGTTCTCTTATGATCTCATTCCTGATCTTATCTCTTATGGTCACTCCTACAGCCCTTCTCAGACATCTCATTTCCGTGGTTACTAATTTTCTTTTATGGTTTGTTGTGAGTGACCATGTCTGGCACTGGTAGCACAGAGTTGGAATAAATATGCTTTGAATAAGATGTCTCTTTGTGCTGTAAGAGGGGGGCTAGCTGTCCCAATACTTGGTTTGCTTTACTGCATCTAATGTCAATTTCTTTATCCAATTTCCCATCTTCGGTAAATGTAGTTCCCAAATATTTAAACTCAGATGCCTGTTTAATGCCTTTGTATTCTATTGCTATGTTTAGATCTGTCTTCTTTTTTCCTATTGACATTACTTCTGTCTTTTCAGTGTTGATTCTCATATGATTTGTTTTACATTCTTCATTCATGGATGTTAGATGTTGTTGCAATTTCATGGCTGTATCTGCTATCAAGGACTGGTCATCTGCAAAGAGTAATTCGTTGATCTTACTAAGATCTTCATTCATGGGCTTGGCATTCTTGCATATACTGTCGATGTAGGTGATAAACAGCAGTGGTGATAAGACACACCCCTGTCTTACTCCCGATGTCACTGTGAAAGGATGAGATGTTCCCTGATTTATTCTAACTACACTTCTACAATCCGTGTATAAACTTTTGCACACTTCGATGAGGTGTTCGCTTACTCCATATCTTGCCATTATTTTCCATAATAATTGTCTGTCGACTCTGTCAAATGCCTTTTCCTGGTCTACGAATGCCACAAATAAGTTCTTATTGTATTCAATGTTCTTTTCTATTAGCTGTTTAAGTGTGAAGATTGCATCTGTGCAGCTTCTATTTCACCTAAATCCCATCTGTTCTTCTGCCAGCTGTGGTAATATTTTGTGTTCTCTTTATATGTATGTATGTATGTATGTATGTATGTATGTATGTATGTATGTATGTATGTATGTATGTATGTATGTATGTATGTATGTATGTATGTATGTATGTATGTATGTATGTATGTATGTATGTATGTATGTATGTATGTATGTATGTATGTATGTATGTATGCATGCATGAATGTATGTATGCATGCATGCATGTATGTATGTATGTATGTATGTATGTATGTATGTATGTATGTATGTATGTATGTATGCATGTCAGATTGATATTATATGTGTTCTTTTTATATGTATGTATGTATGTATGTATGTATGTATGTATGTATGTATGAATGTATGTCGGATTGATATTATATGTGTTCTCTTTATATGTATGTATGCATGGCAGATTGATATTATGTGTTATTTTTATATGTATGTATGCATGTCAGATTGATATTATATGTGTTCTTTTTATATGTATGTATACATGTCAGATTGATATTATATGTGTTCTCTTTATATGTATGTATACATGTCAGATTGACATTATATGTGCTCTCTTTATAAGTATGTATGCATGGCAGATTGATATTATGTGTTCTTTTTATGTGTTCTTTTTAAATGTATGTATGCATGTCAGATTGATATTATATGTGTTATTTTTATATGTATGTATGCGTGTCAGATTGATATTATGTGTTCTTTTTATATGTATGTATACATGTCAGATTGATATTATATGTGTTCTTTTTATATGTATGTATACATGTCAGATTGATATTATGTGTTCTTTTTATATGTATGTATACATGTCAGATTGATATTATGTGTTCTTTTTATATGTATGTATACATGTCAGATTGATATGCGTTCTCTTTATAAGTATGTATGCATGGCAGATTGATATTATGTGTTCTCTTTATAAGCATTTATACATTTCATATTATTACTTCCATGTGGGTTTCGCTAAACACGTCTCATTCGAAGTCGGAGTGCATCTACCTTCAAGGCGAGGAACCAACAGTCTCCACTAAAAAATAATAATCCATATGTAAAACGGATGCGCATGCAAAACTCAAGCTGTGGCGCAAGATCAAAGTCCAGAGGTATACGAACAAGCAGAACTTTCCACCAGTGAACAGAATAAAAAATATTTCAATAATAAACACATTGAGAGATTTGCCTTACAGCACAGACAGAGAATCTTTATTATTGCGACTGCAGATCTCCGATCCTAGACAATTATCAAGTTCCCCCCCCCCCCCCCCACAAAGACAAGAAGTGCGCCCCCCCCCCCTCAAGACAAGAAGTGCGGCAGAGAAAGAATGAACGCGAGGTCACTGACAGCGGGATTACTTCCAGTGGACAGCTGTAGACAATGTCCGCCATCAATGGCGTCAGGTCAGCGCGTGAGAAGAAACACCTGGCTGCCCCAGCCAAACATCCCGAGGTCAGACAAAGTTCAAAATGGATACAAGCCAGGCTGATCAACTTGGCCAGATTCAAATCTGTGGAAGAGGAACTCAGCAAGACACTCTTCAGTCAATGTTTTCTTTATTGGCTTCAGGCACTGTTACAGTTTCTCTCCTCACAAATGCACGTCAACAGTCTGAACGGTAATTCTCTTAGACGGACAACAAACTGTTTTCAGGTCTAACAACTGTAGTTTAAAAAAAAAAAGGAAAGTCGGGAGATGTGAAACAGCGTCATTGCACAGCATAATACAAAATTAGTGCTCTGTCACCAGTACAGACAGCTGATAAAAAAATGTATGCCTGTGTCGCCGTCCGCATGCAACTCCGTAGCTACAGCGACGTCCCTCCATTTACCCCAGAGTTTTAACTCTGGTACCCATTTCCTAGAGACTGGGTGAACCCAGGGAATCGTCCGGTTTCGAACACCGACCGTGGGCTGCGAGTCGCAGCTGAATTTAAAAGCGAGTCTCCTATCGACTGCGCTTACGCGGCTCCAATTGTAGTTCTAGGAGACAGGTGACAAGGACAACTAGGCGGATGTAGTAAGTGCATCGAACAACAAAGTTGAAAGAAGAACATTTCGCCTGGGGAGATGCAATCCAGGTAGGCTATGGGCCCACTGATGTAGGAGACAAGAGTCACTAGAACGATGACTAGGCCCAACTGTGTACTAGCTGTATTCATGTGTGGTTTTCTCACATTATTTAATACGAACAGACAATAAAATACATATTAGCAGAAACAAGGCACAAGTGACGTGGACGGACACGTCCCATTTACATTAGCTATTTACACAAACGAATATCATATGGAGGAAATGAACAATCAGCTTGGCTGTGCGTAGACATATGTCTGTGTCGTACGAGCATCGATTGAAACCAAGGACGGCAACAAGGAAACTGAATGAACAGCATCTGACCTGCCTGCCGCAAAGACGTGGTTGAATGGGCCAGCTTGCATGTGATACTTTTGACTATTGTTATGTCAGTGTAAAACCAAATAACAAATACAGGTTTCTACTCTGCAATTAGACTCAACAGTGTCGTGTTGTACAAAGATCGAACACAACAGCTGACAAGAGTCAAGCAGCTGTGTGAGTCCGGCAACCACCCAGTGCCGCACATGGCGGAGGGGTCACGTCTACCAGCCAGCGTCCTTTATACGGCTCTTGCCTATTAAATATTTCATATCACAAAGCACATAAACTATATAATGTATTTACATTCTCTAAACAAACATGGTGCTGTCTGTGGACATACAATCAATCACCTCGGTGATGTAGAAGTGTGTAAAACAAGACCACGAGGTGTCTACTACAATGTTTACGCCCGACGTACTACTTTCTAACATTCTACAACTTACTTGAGCAGTCCGGCAGCGATTTCTTTCTCCCGGGCCTGCAGTTCGTTCATGTAGCGTCTTCTGTCGCTGCTTCTAATATCTACAGACATGCTGAAAGTGATTGTTGAGGTAAAATCCACGGAAATCGCAGCCAAAACACCAGAAATGTTGACAGTTACGGGCACGGCGTGGACAAGGCCGACAGAATGAGTAACAAATGGCGGGAAACAGCTGTTGGCCGATTCACCTCATCTGCACCAGCGGGCTCGGCCTTTAGCTCCTCGACCACACCATCCAAACACGTCCACAACTGTTCTGCTGTCATCTTCCGTCAATTTACCGCAAATCTAAAATATCTTACTGTGATTTTACAAGAAACATGTGGAAGAAATACAGTCAAACATGAAGCGCTATATGACGTCGCGGACCCTGAAATTCCGTGAAGCAGAAAGTAAGTAGTTCCTGTAGCGGGAAAGCCGCAGGTCGGCATCTTGGCAGGCGTCCAACCGTGGCTCACTGGGCCAGGGAGAGAATGGTTGCTGGGAGCCGACATTTACCGTACCGGTGTCAGAACTTGGTTCGGTCATCCTTGGGTCTAGCTGGCACTAATGCCTGTGTGCGTCTCTTATACCCCTCCCGAGACCCACATATTGTGTCAGTGGCTTGTTCTAGAACATTCTCCCGCTGTGACGGAATGTCTGCCCAGGTCATGCACCCAGACCTCACGTACAATCAGCTGAGTGATGATCTCACTGTAGATTGGCCGAAACGTCAAATGAATGAAGCCAGTTGTACTGTGTGCCACGTGATGATGTCGGCAATCACGTCACGAGGGTATCCAGTATCTCCCATCTGATGATGAAGTTGTAGTTTATGTTATCATTGCACTTCACGCAAGCCAATACATGCTATGACTGTATACATACACATTACATCACTGGATCATTTCACATCACATAATTGGATACATACACATTACATGACTGGATCATTTCCCATCACATAATTGGATACATACACATTATATCACTGGATCATTTCACATCACATAACTGGATACATACTCATTATATCACTGGATCATTTCACATCACATAACTGGATACATACACATTACATCACTGGATCATTTCACATCACATAACTGGATACATACACATTATATCACTGGATCATTTCACATCACATAACTGGATACATACACATTACATCACTGGGTCATTTCACATCACATAACTGGATACATACACATTACATCACTGGATCATTTCACATCACATAACTGGATACAAACATATCAATGCAGATTAATTAACTGGATAAAAACATATCCATACCGATTAATTAACTAGATACATATACATCAATACCGATTACATAACTGGAGGCACACCACGTACCGATTGCATAACTGTATAAACATACATCACATACGAATTATATAACTAGATACATACACGAAGGGTTGTTGTCACAGGGACCCCTGTCTAGATACATACACGAAGGGTTGTTGTCACAGGGACCCCTGTCTAGATACATACACGAAGGGTTGTTGTCACAGGGACCCCTGTCTAGATACATACACGAAGGGTTGTTGTCACAGGGACCCCTGTCTAGATACATACACGAAGGGTTGTTGTCACAGGGACCCTGTCTAGATACATACACGAAGGGTTGTTGTCACAGGGACCCCTGTCTAGATACATACACGAAGGGTTGTTGTCACAGGGACCCCTGTCTAGATACATACACGAAGGGTTGTTGTCACAGGGACCCCCGTCTAGATACATACACGAAGGGTTGTTGTCACAGGGACCCCTGTCTAGATACATACACGAAGGGTTGTTGTCACAGGGACCCCTGTCTAGATACATACACGAAGGGTTGTTGTCACAGGGACCCCTGTCTAGATACATACACAAAGTGTTATTGTTGGCTTGTGGTCGGTTGCGTACCAAAGTCGAGAAAAACAATTGTCGCATTTGAAGATGTCGTTTGCATGAGATCTGTTCAACTTTGTGTGAATGACTCAGGTGGTAGTCATGTGGAAGAAACAGACAGAATAAAACAGACAGAATAAAACTGTCAGAATATGTCTCAGAAATTGAGCGCTGTTCTGCATTGTTCCTTACAGAAAGTCGTGTATGTTCCAAGCGGGCAAGGTTAACTACAATGAGCTTCATTATAGTACTCACTACACGCTGATTACGTAAGTATCAAGGGCAGATATAAAACCGAACGAAAAGTATATCAATGAACTTCACAATGTAACCAACATAAAGAAAACGTGAACGTTGCGGTTATAGAGCCTTCATCAGCACATACATAAGTCAAACAAAACCACACGAATACACAAAAATTACTTAACTGACTTATCCAGATGCAGTCACGTGGATGATTTGGCAGTGCAATGAGGAAGCGTTCCAGTTCCAGTTGATTAACAAAAATTCTAAACTTGATCCTTTTTCAGCCGCCCGGAGGCCTGCTATATAAAGGAAGGTTCCTTAGCTATCTTATTTGGTTTCCTATTCTTTGTGGAGTGAAGTCACACCTGACATTTCTGTTTATTGTCTTCCTAAATCCAGTGTGGTACACGAGGAAGCGCACTGAGCCCGAGAATCAATAGCCGTGGAATGCCGAGGGCCGTAACTAGAGAATTTTGGATGAAACTGTGTTGACAGTTCAGTCCCCTGGGTTTTAAAGTTCCCAGAGTGAAAAATAAAGCGATCTTCACGAGACTTGCGGACTCTGTCGCTGGAATGGCTAGATTTAATGGCTATCACCTCCATGTCGTGATCACCGTGGTGATCCTGGGAATTGAAGTGCAACGGTACTGGTTTCAGGACACCCATCTGCACATCCAAAAGATGTCTGAACCTGTCAGTCAGTCGTAGACCTGTTTTACCGTTGTATTTCATGCCACATCTAGTGCAGTTGATTGCGTAAATAACATTGCGGCTGGTGCAGTAGAATGCTTCACCTATGTGGAAGATGGCATTCGGAAGTTCCAGACTAGTCCCCTGGATCACATACGGACAGGTCCTGCATACAGGTCTGTGGCACGAGAACGTGCCCAAGTGGGTCTCAGTCTCAGAACATAACCGACTCTTGACTAGAATGTCCTTGAGATTACGGTCATGTCTGTAGGCCACTAGAGGAAGTTCAGAGACAATCGTGCTGGTGCCAGGGTCAGCCCTAAGCATGGAGACGTGCCTGAGGAGAATATTTTTGGCACGGATGTTGTGAGGGTGGTGGGTAAGTTCGAGAATAGATCTGTTGTGGTGACATTTAGGCTTGGAAACGAGAGCCTCAGCATGATGGATAGACCGTGCTCGGTGAAAGGCGACAGACAAGACATGTTCGATATCCTCCAAACCGTAAGAAGTCCAACATTTCTTGAGCTTTGTTGTGAAAGTCGTCGTTCTCCTGGCATATTCTGCGGAGGCGTACAAGCTGGGAGAAAGGAATGTAGTTCTTGCAGGAACAGGGATGAGAGGACGTGAAGAGAAGAAAAGCGTGGGAATCAGCAGGCTTATAGTACACCGAGGTGCTGAGGCATTTAGAGTCCACGGTGACAGTGAGATCCAGAATAAGAATAAGAATAAACTCACAGGGAGCAAGTACAGCGGGGATCTACAGTCATCAGTAGAAATTATCCTCTTTCGACACACGTTTCGGCCCACGATTCCTAAACGTATTCGGAGGTGGGCCCACCTGAGTTCATGAAGCTCAGGTCTGCTTCCCCGCCGCACAGAATTACCGGATGGTGTTATACTTTCGGCCAGAGACAAGACGACTTGGTGGTTTCGAAGGAGGTACTGTGAGATAAGAAGCCGCCACGGCAGCGTAATTAGAGCAGTCCGCATGCCTGGACGACCGAGCGACAAGCTTACTTTGGTTTACCGGACACATCTTGGACTTTTATTAGCAGTTGGCAGAGAGACACTGGCAGACAATTCGTACACGATGGACTTTTCAAAGGGATAAGAAACTCTTTTCCAGAAAATGTACCGACAAAGGTGAAATGCTGAAAGTGTATCGGAAGCCGGGATGGAAGTTTGAGAAAAACAAAATGAACGATGTCCTGCAGTTTAGGTAGGTGCATATCGGTGACATCGATGCAGTCATAGATATAGCTTCTGTAGAGCTCACACTAGGTAAGTAAGTAGCCACACACGGCCAGTCGTGATTGCCCTATCTCTTATCGATCTGGCGTGTGAGGACGATAGACGGGAGGGCACTCTGAGAATGTTTCAGGTGAAGACCAACATGATTATCTCCCCAAGATTTGGGTATTTCAAACTTCCACCTGCTGCCGATCTCATTAGAACTATCCTGTCTACACTTCGGGTCACTCTGTAATCGTATGGAGTCACAATATAACCTTAAGGTTGAAAAAGGTTTCTGGAGTTTCAAACTGGGGGATTTTCATCCGACAAATCTGTCAAAGTGGCCAACATTTTCCGGCTGACCTGACATGTTTAACATAAGAATGGTGATAGAGAATTTCAATGTAATTAACGAGGGTCGTAGAGAATTTCAATGTCATTAACGAGGGTGGTAGAGAATTTCAATGTAATTAACGAGGGTCGTCAAGAATGTCAATGTAATTAACGAGGGTGGTAGAGAATTTCAATGTAATTAACGAGGGTGGTAGAGAATTTCAATGTAATTAACGAGGGTGGTAGAGAATTTCAATGTCATTAACGAGGGTGGTAGAGAATTTCAATGTCATTAACGAGGGTGGTAGAGAATTTCAATGTCATTAACGAGGGTGGTAGAGAATTTCAATGTAATTAACGAGGGTGGTAGAGAATTTCAATGTAATTAACGAGGGTGGTAGAGAATTTCAATGTAATTAACGAGGGTGGTAGAGAATTTCAATGTCATTAACGAGGGTGGTAGAGAATTTCAATGTCATTAACGAGGGTGGTAGAGAATTTCAATGTCATTAACGAGGGTGGTAGAGAATTTCAATGTCATTAACGAGGGTGGTAGAGAATTTCAATGTAATTAACGAGGGCGGTAGAGAATTTCAATGTAATTAACGAGGGTGGTAGAGAATTTTAATGTAATTAACGAGTCATAGAGAATTTCAATGTAATTAACGAGGGTGGTAGAGAATTTCAATGTAATTAACGAGGGTGGTAGAGAATTTCAATGTAATTAACGAGGGTGGTAGAGAATTTCAATGTCATTAACGAGGGTGGTAGAGAATTTCAATGTCATTAACGAGGGTCATAGAGAATTTCAAAGTAATTAACGAGGGTGGTAGAGAATTTCAATGTAATTAACGAGGGTGGTAGAGAATTTCAATGTAATTAACGAGGGTGGTAGAGAATTTCAATGTCATTAACGAGGTTCATAGAGAATTTCAATGTCATTAACGAGGGTGGTAGAGAATTTCAATGTCATTTGCCAGAGAGATCGCCAGATATCTCTATTTGCAGTTTTCTTTCTGGCTTTGTTCCATTCCAGTCCTCCGTCAGTTAGGGACTGTCGGATGTCGTCTTCCCAGCGCACCCTGGAGGTTTGGTTCCCTGGTTCTTAGCCTCCCATGGTGGCTGATTTTCTCCCATTCTGCATACATGTCCAAACCATTGTAACTGTGACTGATCCACTCGGGTTTGTAAGGACTGGGTATTAAGATCTTGACGTATTGTCCGATTGCGGACTTTGTCCCTTTTTGTCACTTGGACCACCTTTCTCAGATCTCATTTCTGAGGCCTAAAGCTGGCTTCTGTGAGCTGTTGTCATTGCCCATGACTCACACCCATAGGTCAGGACTGGTACATAAGTAGGACCTGAAACTGGACCCAGTACAAAAAGGAGCCCTTTTCCCGCCTTTCACGTTAGGGTTAGGACTAGACCTATATTTTATAGACCAAACTACACTTGGTGAGTGATGTGGTCAGCATCACGCCGGCCGCCTTTACTTCCCAGGACTGTACCTGGTACCCACTAAGGCTGGAACGACCTGAGAGCCAAGGTGAATTTTTTAAAAAGTTTGACCTCCATCAGAAACCGAATCCATGACTTTCCAATCAGCAAACTCAGCCTGCAGTAAATACAACATGAAGATCAATGCACACAAAACCGAAGCAATGCAAGAACCCCTACCCCACTACACACACAGTGAAATGGTTTTGCTCTGAATCAAGTTAGGGAGTTTAAATATCTAGGAAGTATGATCACAGAAGATGGTAAAATGAGGACATCAACAAAGCATTTATAGTTTAAAAGATTACAGTGGGAACATGATAAATAATAATGAGGGAATATGTCACAGATGGAAGGAATACTTTGCTGAATTGTTGAACTGTGAATCCCCCACATAATACTTATCCACAGGAAGAGATATTACCATGTGAACCAAATATTGAAGAGCCTGATTTTGAAGAAGTACTTATGTTATAACATGGCTATAAATAACAAAGCAACTGGTGCTAATGGAATTGCGGGGAAACTTATAACAGAAGGTGGCCATGCATTACATGTAAAGATATATGAATTAATAAAACTAATTTGGAAACGGAGAAATTACCCCATGAATGAAAAGTGTCTTTATTAATACCCATTTTGAAGAAAGGAGACAAGTTCTGCTGTATGGCAGCGAGTCTTGGAATGTCACTATAAAAATTAAGAAGAATTTGGAAGCAACATAGATGTGGTTTCTGAGACGAATACCTTGGATGGCCAGAGTAACTAACAATGATTGCTTGAAAGAAGCTAATGAAAGTAGATCTCTCTATACAACAATAAGAAAGAGACAAAAACTGTTCTTTCGCCACATAATGAGAGGAGAGACAGTGGAGAACATCGTGACAACTGGAAAGATCAGCGTAAAAGGGGTAGAGGCAGACCAAGAGAGATGATACTGGATGGGATAAAACGATGGCATGGTGGGATATCATCAAGAGAGTTGTTCCAGTCAGCCAGGGATCGTGATCTGTGGAGACACATGAGCGCCTACGCCAGTTGGCAGGGCACATAATGTTGATAAACAAGGGTCGGTAAGAGACTGGGTACTTGACCCAGTAGAGAATCTTAAGGTAACTAACAAGGGTCGGTTAGAGACTGGGTACTTGACCCAGTAGAGAACTTTAACTAACAAGGGTCGGTAAGAGACTGGGTACTTGACCCAGTAGAGAACTTTAACTAACAAGGGTCGGTAAGAGACTGGGTACTTGACCCAGTAGAAAATCTTAAGGTAACTAACAAGGGTCGGTAAGAGACTGGATACTTGACCCAGTAGAGAACTTAAACTAACAAGGGTCGGTAAGAGACTGGGTACTTGACCCAGTAGAGAACTTAAACTAACAAGGGTCGGTAAGAGACTGGGTACTTGACCCAGTAGAGAACTTAAACTAACAAGGGTTTGTAAGAGACTGGGTACTTGACCCAGTAGAAAATCTTGAGGAAACTTACAAGGGCCGGTAAGAGACTGGGTACTTGACCCAATAGAAAATCTTAAGGTAACCAACAAGGGTAAACAAGGAAATAAAGTATACTATGCCCTTTCACATCTGCTAAATTCAAAGTCTCCATCTGGAAACAACAAGATCAAACTGTATTCAATGTTGATAAGAGTAGTTCTTTATACAAAAGACATGAATCATTATTAAAAATGTTTGAAAAATACGAATCTCTGGACGTATAAAAAAAACAGCAGGGAATTGAGAGAGAAGCAACAACAAATTTTATAATCTGCTTAAATCTCCATTGATCACTGGCAAGATGAGGACTAATAGACTGAAACATATTAAAGGAATGTCAGATGACCCAGAGGAAAAAACTGTATACACAATAGGGCTGAATGGTCATAGACTATGAGGCAGACCTAGAAAACGATGGAGAGATAATATCCAGACAGACCTGCAAACACTTGGTGTCATCAACTGGAAAGAGAAGGCCAACCAGAGAAATGAATGGAGGTGGGTGACATCTGCAGTAATGAACATCAAGGACTCGGAATGCTGAAGATAAAGAATTAACAAGGGTTAGTGCTTGACCCAAGCAGCCATGAACAAGTCTACACACGAGGGCTGGATATGACAGCCTATGTACATAACAGATGAACATCCAAAGTAACAACAAAATGGAAACAAAACTCACACACACAACAAATGAACATCAAAGTAACAACAACATGGAAACAAAACTATATACACAACAGATAAACATCCAAGTAACAACAACATGGAAACACAATGAACACACACAATAGATGAATATCCAAGTAACAGCAAAATGGAAACACAACGAACACACCTAACAAGGTTGTTAGGAATGAAAGATGTATTGTATAGTCAGAGTCATCAATAAACACAATTAACAACAGATGTCAATGAAGCCAGTTGAACAGGCCGGCAGATACGCTATGACTTCTGTCTCAACTGTCCACACACAATTGTATAATGACATGTACATCACAACCATTTTATTCAACAGAGAAATAAGAGTTGCCTGTCTCAACCCCAGCTATTTAACTCATATGTTCTGTGTTCAGATCTCAAGGCTTGAATAGTTGTTGAGATACAAACAGCAGGACAATGTTTGCGTGACCTACAACCTTGAGTAGACCATCTTGGCTGTTTTCAACGAAATGTCTTTAGGAATCAGAAAAATAGATCAGCCAATATAAACGATATGTCGATTTAAATGATTTGTCTATAGGAATGAGAAGAATAGATCAGACAATATCAATTATATGTCTATAGGAATCAGAAAAACAGATCAGCCAATTTAAATGATAAATCTTTAAGAAGGTAAGTACATAACTCTTATCTCTGCCGTCTACAGACAGTGAGGGATACAGGCATATGCTGCCAGGTCCACCGCTGCTGTACCCACCCAGCAATGGATGACTGATGTGGCCTGTATCACTTCGTCTGCTGCCCTATAACCCTCAACCAGGGCAGTAGCCTTCTCCAAACACACTCCAAGTCCTGCTCTAACTGTTGCCACCTCTTGCAGCTCCACAATCTAAGGCCTGCTCTAACTGTTGCCACCTCTTGCAGCTCCACAATCTAAGGCCTGCTCTAACTGTTGCCACCTCTTGCAGCTCCACAATCTAAGGCCTGCTCTAACTGTTGCCACCTCTTGCAGCCCCCCTCTCCCAACACAATCTAAGGCCTGCTCTAACTGTTGCCACCTCTTGCAGCCCCCACTCTCCCAACACACTCTAAGGTCTGCTCTAACTGTTGCCACCTCCTGCAGCCCCCCCCCCACCCCCCACCATATTACAAAGGATGTCCCATACGTGCTCACAGACTAGACAAACATATCACCAAAGACAAGGCCAGCTGTACTTGCACATTATATCAATCAAAATGGTTTTCATTTTTTAAAATTTATTTTCCCTATGAAAGCCCGTTTGGATGTGTGTCCTCTACTGTGTCGCCAGACCACATATAACATACAAACCCTGCCTCTGCTACAAACTGTGTCACCAGACCACATATAACATACAAACCCTGCCTCTGCTGCAAACTGTGTCACCAGACCACATATAACATACAAACCCTGCCTCTGCTGCAAACTGTGTCACCAGACCACATATAATGTACAAACCCTGCCTCCGCAACTGACTGATCCCAAAGAATGTTGTCAATAGATACAATTTATATCATAAATAACTTTTCCGTAGACGGACAATAGTATGCTGCTGCCAGTGTGTGGCACTTGGTAATAAAGATAACATGGTTGCTGATATCATGGAATGTTGTCTATAAATACAATTTATATCATAAATAAGTTGTCAGTATATGCCTGGACTATAACTGGGTGATGCTGCCAGTATGCCATCCTGTCCGAGAATGACACTCAGTAATCCGGCGATGGGGTCATGATAGTATCCACAAAACTGGATATGTTAACCTGGCCATTTGCCTGCACCCCAGCTTCCCGGAACAAGGAGTCAACTGCCAGTAGAAACAAGAATCTATTCATAAACACACAACAGCAGTCAACAATTGACACAGCAAGTTTATCTCCAACAACAATGGCTTATCATAGACAAGACAGAGAGTCAACAATTGACGCACCAAGTTTATCTCAAACAACAATGGGTGATCATAGACAAGACAGAGAGTCAACAATTGACACAGCAAGTTTATCTCAAACAACAATGGCTTATCATAGACAAGACAGAGAGTCAACAATTGACACAGCAAGTTTATCTCAAACAACAATGGGTGATCATAGACAAGACAGAGAGTCAACAATTGACACAGCAAGTTTATCTCAAACAACAATGGGTGATCATAGACAAGACAGAGAGTCAACAATTGACACAGGAAGTTTATCTCAAACAATAATGGGTGATCATAGACAAGACAGAGAGTCAACAATTGACACAGCAAGTTTATCATAGACAAGACAGAGAGTCAACAATTGACACAGGAAGTTTATCTCAAACAATAATGGGTGATCATAGACAAGAGAGAGAGTCAACAATTGACACAGGAAGTTTATCTCAAACAACAATGGGTGATCACAGACAAGACAGAGAGTCAACAATGACACAGGAAGTTTATCTCAAACAACAATGGATGATCATAGACAAGACAGAGAGTCAACAATTGACACAGGAAGTTTATCTCAAACAATAATGGGTGATCATAGACAAGACAGAGACTCAACAATTGACACAGCAAGTTTATCTCAGACAACAATGGGTGATCATCGACAAGACAGAGAGTCAACAATTGGAGCAAACAGTTTACATAAAAAAACAAAAGGTGATCATAGACAAGACAGAGAGTCAACAATTGGAACAAACAGCTTAAATAAAAAAAAAACAATGGGTTATCATAGACAAGACAGAGAGTCAACAATTGGAGCAAATAGTTTACATTAAAAAAACAATAGGTGATTATAGACTAGACAGAGAGTCAACAATTGGAACAAACAGTTGACATAAAAAAACAATAGGTGATCATAGACAAGACAGAGAGTCAACAATTGGCAGAGGCATTTTGTGTCAAACCACAATAGGTGATCACAAATAGAGTTTGTATGTCTCAGCTATATCACAATAGAGGAGTTTGTATGTCTCAGCTATATCATGATAGAGGAGTTAGTATGTCTCAGTTATATCACAATAGAGGAGTTTGTATGTCTCAGCTATATCGCAATAGAGGAGTTTGTATGTCTCAGTTGTATCAAGATAGAGGAGTTTGTCTCAGTTATAGCTATATAACGATAGAGGAGTTTGTATGTCCCAGCTATAGCTTTATGACGACAGAGGAGTTTGTATGTCTCAGTTATAGCTATATAACGATAGAGGAGTTTGTATGTCCCAGCTATAGCTTTATGACGACAGAGGAGTTTGTATGTCCCAGCTACATCATGACAGTGGAGTTTGTATATTCCAGCTCCAACATATAGCGCAAAAGTGTGCATGAGACAAAGAATACAAGAATTTGGAGTAAAGATCGGCACAGCCAAGCATGAGAGGCATACTGAATGTACAAGAGGCCCTTTTTACAGCATAGGACTGGCACTATTAACCACAGGACGCTGATGTATATGTTCTTTAAGAGGAAATCTGAGCACATACGGACACGTATGGAGTGCTGTGAAGATAACTCATAACTGACAGCTGAGACCCAATCACAAATTCCAAGTGTAATCACCTACCCTCTTTACTGCTGAGTTTTTCCCCAATGTTGGTGAGGATGTGTCGGAGTTCGACAGCATTGACGTAGCCTCTCTTCTCTCGATCCTGTGCTATAAGTGCAGCCTTCAGCTCCTTCTGCTTGTTCTCAATCTGTGAGTGTTCGTGCATGATGTTCAAGAATGAGGCAAAGTCGATCCTGTCAGTAGCTGCAACAACAACAACAGTCAGTGTGCAAACACAGTCACAATATCAGAGACCAGACTAACACTGAAGGAAATATTCCATCCATAGCCGCACATGCAAACACAGTCACAAATATCAGAGACCAGTCTAACACTGAAGGAAATATTCCATGTCAGCCATTCCAACCATAGCTGCACATGCAAACAAATGATGGCCCTTGCACCCCAGCACACTGTGGTCAGAATATAAGGCTGTGACAGCTGCTACCAAGTTTATCTTTATTGTGTGTGTGCCTGTGGCAGAAGTGTTGCAGGCTCTAACAGTTCACATTCCTAAATACACAATATGTCCCCCTTTGTGTAAACATATATGTTATAACATCATAACTATGTGAAATATTTCACTTATTATTATTAACTGAAGAAACAAAACAAAATGAACTCCAAAAATCTATTTATAAACTATCAAAACATTTAACATTAAAATGTCTTATGCATAAACACAACCAACCAAAGATGGCAACATACAATCATAACACAGACACACAAACAATATCTAGGAATTTAAAACCCCAAAGGACATGACGTTGGGTGCAGACAGACAACAGACATGAGGTTGATGCAGACAGACAACAGACATGAGGTTGGGAGCAGACAGACACACAACAGACATGAGATTGGGAGCAGACAGACAACAGACATGAGTTTGGGAGCAGACAGACAACAGACATGAGTTTGGATAGAGACAGACAACAGACACGAGGTTGAGTGCAGACAGACACACAACAGACATGAGGTTGGGTCCAGACAGACACACAATAGACAAGAGGCTGTGTGCAGACAGACACACAACAGACATGAGGTTTGGTGCAGACAGACTCACAACAGACATTGCTGGGAACAGAAAGACACACAACAGGCATGAGGTTGAGTGCAGACAGACTCACAACAGACATGAGGTTGGGTGCAGACAGACAACAGATATGAGGCTGGGTGAAGACAATGACATGAGGTTGAGTGCAGACAGACTCACAACAGACATTGCTGGGCACAAACACACACACCACAGACATGAGGCTGAGAGCAGACAGACTCACAACAGACATGAGGTTGGGTGCAGACAGACAACAGATATAAGGCTGGGTGAAGACAATGACATGAGGTTGGGTAGAGAGAGACACACAACAGACATAAGGTTAGGTGCAGACAGACACACAACAGACATGACGTTGGGTACAGACAGACATGAATTTGGGTGCAGACAGACTCACAACAGAATGAGATTGTGTAAAGTCAGACACAACAGCATGATGCTGGGTACAGACACACAACAGACATGAGGCTGGGTACATACACACAACAGACATGAGGCTGGGTACAGACACACAACAGACATGAGGCTGGGTACAGACACACAACAGACATGAGGCTGGGTGCATACAGACACACAACAGACATGAGGCTGGGTGCATACAGACACACAAAAGACATGAGTTTGAATGCAGACAGACAAACATCAAATAAGAGGTTGGGTGCAGTCATACACACAACAGACATGAGGTTTGATGTAGACAGACATGAGGCTGGGTACAGACAGACACACATCAGACATGACATTTGGTGTAGACACATACAGGCTGTAGCCTTGGTGAAATAATTGTGGACCTCCTCCTTGGTGACACAATAATTCAGTGAGCGGATGATGATGGAGAGATCCCCCTCGTTGCTGATGTAGCCGCTCCTCACATGGAAGAAGAAGCATTCTTTGAAAGCTGAAAGAGGAGGTCACAAATTATTGCCATTTCTGTAGTGACTGTGTGGATACATGTCATCATTGAGGTCAACTATCTCCCCATGTGGGTTCTGTAGTGACTGTGTGGATATATGTCATCATTGAGGTCAACTATCTCCCCATGTGGGTTCTGTAGTGACCGTGTGGATACATGTCATCATTGAGGTCAACTATCTCCCCATGTGGGTTCTGTAGTGACCGTGTGGATACATGTCATCATTGAGGTCAACTATCTCCCCATGTGAGTTCTGTAGTGACCGTGTGGATACATGTCATCATTGAGGTCAACTATCTCCCCATGTGGGTTCTGTAGTGACTGTGTGGATACATGCCGTCATTGAGGTCAACTACCTCCCTATGTGGGTTCTGTAGTGACTGTGGATATATGTCATCACTGAGGTCAACTATCTCCCCATGTGGGTTCTGTAGTGACTGTGTGGATACATGTCATCATTGAGGTCAACAATCTCCCCATGTGGGTTCTGTAGTGACTGTGTGGATACATGTCATCATTGAGGTCAACTATCTCCCCATGTGGGTTCTGTAGTGACTGAGTGGATACATGTCATCATTGAGGTCAACTATCTCCCCATGTGGGTTCTGTAGTGACTGTGTGGATACATGTCATCATTGAGGTCAACTATCTCCCCATGTGGGTTCTGTAGTGACTGTGTGGATACATGTCATCATTGAGGTCAACTATCTCCCCATGTGGGTGCTGGGGCTCAATTTTGGGTTAAACAAGAACAGACCCACTGCACCCAGCAAGCATGTCCTACAAAGCCACTAGTTCAGAATGCATCTGCCTGAGAGATGAGTAACCAACAGTCTGCATACAAATAAGTAGATCTAACAAATGGATGGGATTGCAAAACTCAAAGTTCTGGAACAAGACCAAAGTGCATGACCAAGCAAACTTGTTGCAGGAGTTGACAGCCACTGGACAAGGGGGATGAACAAGCAAACTTGTTGCAGGAGTTGACAGCCACTGGACAAGGGGGATGAACAAGCAAACTTGTTGCAGGAGTTGACAGCCACTCAACAAGGTGCATGACCAAGCAAACTTGTTGCAGGAGTTGACAGCCACGGAACAAGGGGCATGAACAAGCAAACTTGTTGCAGGAGTTGACAGCCACTCAACAAGGTGCATGACCAAGCAAACTTGTTGCAGGAGTGTACAGCCACTGGACAAGGGGGATGAACAAGCAAACTTGTTGCAGGAGTGTACAGCCACGGAACAAGGGGCATGAACAAGCAAACTTGTTGCAGGAGTGTACAGCCACTGGACAAGGGGGATGAACAAGCAAACTTGTTGCAGGAGTTGACAGCCACGGAACAAGGGGCATGAACAAGCAAACTTGTTGCAGGAGTTGACAGCCACTGGACAAGGGGGATGAACAAGCAAAATTGTTGCAGGACTTGACAGCCACTGAACAAGGGCTATGAACAAGCAAACTTGTTGCAGGAGTTGACAGCCACTGAACAAAAAGAAGTTACCTACTTTTTCTGCCAGCCCTTGCTCTCTGGCTCAACAAGGGGCATGGAGTCAGAGCTAAAGTATCAGTTAGTTAGTTAACAGATTATCATCATTGCACATTGAATCACCCAGTCCATAGGTGCTCAGATCCCCCACTCAGTTGGTTTACTAGTCTTTATTGGGTCCCTGTGTAGCTCTTTTGTCTAGCTTCACCCTTTTTGATGTTATGTTTGTGCTTTGAAGATTCCTAATTATTACTGAATTCCTTTATTCGATCTGCCTCTCTGAGGACATTCAGTATTTCAGCCCTGTCCATTGCTCGTGCGTTTCCCAGGTGAACATCACTTGCAAGTCTGTCAGCTCGTTCACTGCCCTTTACACCTGAATGCCCGGAGAAAAATATTAAGCTGATTTCTGTCAGCCCAGATCTATTTCCGGACTCCACCCATTGTCTTTGTATGCAACCCTTCTCGACTGCCAGGCTATTGCTTTAGTTGTTGATATGACCTCCACAGTCAAACTGCTTGTCGTCAACAGAGGGCACAGCAGTCTTGTTTGAAGGTTCTTTTTCATAGTTGAGCCGTAAATTCCCACAAGTTTCTGACATTTCGAATGACAGATCCATCTGTGTAGATGATCACATCGCCCTCAGAAGAATTCTCACATATCCAGGCCTGCACTTCTGCTTTCACAACTACTGGGTTTTGTCCAAAATATGACCTCTTGTCAAATATGGCGACGTAATATTTTTTTCTCACACAAATTTATTTAAATTACTTGACTGGGTTGTAGATAACTGTAGTCCAGGAAGAAAACTTTCTCAATATTTTTGCCAAATCTATTGGTCCTGACCCCACTCTGACGCAGCAGCACAACCACCATATGTGATGCAACCGCAGCAGCACAACCACCATATGTGATGCAACCGCAGCGGCACAACCACCATATGTGATGCAACCGCAGCGGCACAACCACCATATGTGATGCAACCGCAGCAGCACAACCACCATATGTGATGCAACCGCAACAGCACAACCACCATATGTGATGCAACCGTAGCAGCACAACCACCATATGTGATGCAACCGCAACAGCACAACCACCATATGTGATGCAACCGCAACAGCACAACCACCATATGTGATGCAACACATGAAAGACACAAAGTATCCTGAGCTGGAGATGCACACAAAACAGCAGACCATGTTCAGAGAACAGAAAATCTGAGAAAAATCACAACAACAACAACAACACCGCTGATATTTGCCATTCTTAAAATGGAAGTCTTTGTCTCTATCCAGTGGCAACACCTTTTCCTCATCTCCTAATTTCCTGGAATTTGTTTTCTTCTCTCCCAAAACTAGCTCTCTTACATAAAAACAATGGGCTAAGACAACCCAGGTGCATTCTGAAACATTACAGCCACATGAAAGGAATCGCTAATCTCCAGGCAAAATTTCCAAATTTAAAAAAACCACACGCACACAAAGGTTTATGTGTGATTCTAATATACAAACATGTGGATCAACGCTGATGACAGAGTTACTGCGCTGTGTTAAAAACCTCGCTGTGTAATATTTACACAGAGAGTGAACATCTAATGCGGCATCAATGAGCAATAAAGATTTTGCTTTGTTAAACAAAACTAAATGTCAACATCCTGCTCATTTCACTGCTACATGACTCACCCACACAAACAGCACTGCTACATGACCCACCCACACAAACAGCACTGCTACATGACTCACCCACACAAACAGCACTGCTACATGACTCACCCACACAAACAGCACTGCTACATGACTCACCCACACAAACAGCACTGCTACATGACTCACCCAAACAAACAGCACTGCTACATGACTCACCCACACAAACAGCACTGCTACATGACTCACCCACACAAACAGCACTGCTACATGACTCACCCACACAAACAGCACTGCTACATGACTCACCCACACAAACAGCACTGCTACATGACTCACCCACACAAACAGCACTGCTACATGACTCACCCACACAAACAGCACTGCTACATGACTCACCCACACAAACAGCACTGCTACATGACTCACCCACACAAACAGCACTGCTACTTGACTTACACAAACAGCACTGCTAAATGGTTTACACAAACAGCACTGCTACATGACTCACTCACACAAACAGCACTGCTACATGATTCACGCAAACAGCACTGCTACATGACTCACACAAACAGCACTGCTACATGACTTACACAAACAAACAGCACTGCTACATGATTCACGCAAACAAACAGCACTGCTACATGACTAACACAAACAGCACTGCTACATGACTAACTCACACAAACAGCAATGCTACATGATTCACGCAAACAAACAGCACTGCTACATGACTAACACAAACAGCACTGCTACATGATTCACGCAAACAAACAGTACTGCTACATGACTCACACAAACAGCACTGCTTCATGATTCACTCAAACAAACAGTACTGCTACATGACTCACACAAACAGCACTGCTACATGATTCACTCAAACAAACAGTACTGCTACATGACTCACACAAACAGCACTGCTACATGACTCACACAAACAAACAGCACTGCTAGATGACTCACTCACACAAACAAACAGCACTGCTACATGACTCACACAAACAAACAGCACTGCTACATGACTCACTCACACAAACAAACAGCACTGCTACATGACTCACACAAACAAACAGCACTGCTACATGACTCACACAAACAGCACTGCTACATGACTCACACAAACAAACAGCACTGCTACATGACTCACACAAACAAACAAACAGCACTGCTACATGACTCACTCACACAAACAAACAGCACTGCTACATGACTCACACAAACAAACAGCACTGCTTCATGATTCACTCAAACAAACAGCACTGCTACATGATTCACTCACACAAACAGTACTGCTACATGACTCACACAAACAGTACTGCTACATGACTCACACAAACAAACAGCACTGCTACATGACTCAAACAAACAAACAGCACTGCTACATGACTCACACAAACAAACAGCACTGCTACATGCCTCACTCACACAAACAAACAGCACTGCTACATGACTCACACAAACAGCACTGCTGTGTGATTCACACAAACAAACATCACTGCTACATGACTCACATGAACAAACAGCACTGCTGTGTGACTCACACAAACAAACAAACAGCACTGCTACATGACTCAATCACACAAACAAACAGCAGTACGCTTCACTCACCATCAATCTGAGATTCACTGAAGTAATGTGCCTGTAGATTTAAAAAACATAAACAGGTTTAAACAAGCCAGGGTGAACTAAACTCAAACAGGGCAAACAATCAAGCATGTTGCTAAACATTCAAACAAACTTCTGTGAGAGGTGATAAAAGTGTCGATCATTGGGTTAGTACAGAACTCAGCCTGAGAAATCTGACTTCTGTTCTCTACCCCTGGAATGACTCTCAGTGTCAGGAAGAGATCTCTAAAACTGCCATTATGTTCCCTTCATACATAGTGGCGCGGGGAATACTGTCGGCGGTAAGTTTAACCGTGTTTTGCACATGCCGAAAAGTGCGGGGTCAACAACTATGCTAATCTGCGTAGGAGCGCGTGGTCTTCCCGCCATGTGGCTATTATCGTCTGTAATGTTGCGTGTCTCGAAATTGTCAATGGTCACTATTATCTAGCGACTACGGTGTTCGGCAATTTGCAGTCTATTGGCAATTTCCGTTACCATGGAAACCGTTCGAAACTTGTTTGGGAAATGTAGGCTGGTTTCGGGATGGGTCCCAATCTCTCATGAAATTTTGCGATTGGTGTGGTTTTCACCAGTATAAATAGCTGAAAACGGTGGGAACGAACCCGATTAACAGCGCATGTCTACGACAGCCGGAAGTCCTCTGTTTTTCTGTTACATCAGTTTTATTAAAAATAGCGATAAGTTTTCAAGGTTGGCTTTAGGCTTTAACATTACTAGTACTGGTAATGCTGGTTATAATTGAATTATCCATCCAATTTTACATTTGTATATAAAATTTCTTATCAGTGGCTTTTTAGATTTACAGTGACATTTTTTAGGCAATCGCTATTATGTGGCTGTGTCTGCCATCTTGTCCAATGCAAACAAAGCTAAAACGATAAGTGCGCAGTTTGGTTGCGCAGAGAAAACTTCTTGTTTCACAGACCCAAGTTTTCAACAGCTGTTTTTTACATCTCATCTCCACAAAAACCTACATATCTCAGCTCATAAATGACATACAAGCCTAAATGAGGTACCACTGGAAAGAGATTGTTTACAGCTATCTAACTGTGCTGGTTTTATTGGTGTAGTGGGCATTTTGAAAATTTGACTAAAGTATCTATATTATCGTCTGCTAGTATTGTCTGCAGAAACGCTTGAAATTGTTAACGGTTGCTATTATCGTCTGGTAGTACTGGTACTATCATCTGCAGTGTTGCGTCTCTTGAAATTGTCAAGTAATCCTACTTTTGCCGCGATTCGTTCCTTGGCAGAAAGTCCGCATTTTACACACGACTGAGACCCTGTTAGGCTATTTGCTAATAATACTAATATCAGGTAGAAGTTCGGAGGAGAGCCGATAGTCAATCCAATATCAAAACAGGGCGTGACACAATAATAAGAGACCTTCAGGAACAGAATTGTATGACCAGTGAGGGTGTGTCGGTGTAAGAGTCACATATCAAAAACAAACTATGCCTGAGTTAACATCAAGGAGAAGTCAGCGCAGCACATAAAAGAAAAAGTACAACAAAGGGATCAAGTCTGACCAACCATGTCTTCTTCCTTGTCTGCGGCTGGTCCAGTGTTGCCACTTTTCTTTGACAAAAAATATCCAAAACGGTGTCAAAAAATATCTAAAAAGATCTAAATCTGCGTGGAAAAGATCTAGAAAAAACATCCAAATTGAAAAAGTCAAAGATTACATAGATTTTGTTATGACTTACCCTACATAAACATGTCCTCACCTTCACTGATGTCTGCCTCACAAGATCCACAGGATAAACTTAGCTTGGATAATGAAGTTGAAGCTTTAGATCCAAAATGACCCTGGTATGCTTTAGCCGAATTTTAATGGCACGATAGCATTTAAGAGGTCAAATTTCATCCTGTTTTTTAGGTTAGATTTGATATAATTCCTAGCACTGAAAACTCTTTCTACGTCAGCATTTGAATGGGGTCATGGCAGACATGGCACTTTACTTTAAAGAGCTTACAGAATGGACTGTTTGATGCGGCATCTTTAAATTGTCTCACTTCACTCCAAAACGCTTTAGTTTCTGTTTTGTTTGTCCATTAAGCTAACTTTATTTTGGTTAACTGATATTCTGCTTCCGCGACATTATTATCAGTAGCCCCTAAAAATTTCATAACTTTACAATATTTAGGTATGTCCTTTATTGGCTGAAGTATGTTGCTCACAGAAAAAAGTGAAATATTTTTAAAAACATTTAGATTTTCAGGAAGTCTCTGCTTTAGTTGCTTCAATAATGAGATAAGGAAATCTTGACCGCGTTTTCTTAAGTTGTTCTCTTCATTCTCTGTTAACAGTCCTTTTGTTTTTAAATCAACAATTTTGGATTTGATTTAATATCCAAGGTGTGGCTTAGGAGCCAAATAGCTCTCTATAGTGCAAGTGAGCAAATCAGCTTTAGAAGTTAGCAACACCAGTCTTTTACCGAGTGAAATAGCAAGGTGAGATCATCAAGTAATTTAACTTTATCAACAAGTTTAGATTCGAACAATTTATTAACTTTTTGCACTTCCATTAGAATAGGTTATAAAAAGAGAAGGAATGACAAATTTTTTTTTATTACTGTACATTCCATATAGTATTTCAGCTGTGTAGCACTTTTCACTTTGTCTTGTTATTTTAAAGTGTGTCTTCAACTTCAGCCATTGCTTCATAATTCTTTCAACAGCTGGTTAAATTGATAACCATCTAGTTTTGCAATCTGACAGAATTTTCGGTGGTGTGGAACCATCATTCAAGGCTTTATATACTGTATTGTATTGCTGTTGTCTGACAAATGATTTGGAAAACCAGTAAAGTGTTTCAGCAATAAGGTATTCCAAATTCCTTGGTAAATATTTAGATGAAGCATGTGATAATGCTAGCAGCAATGAATGACGCATACATTTTATAAGTATTAACGATGGGTTAGCTTCCTTCAACTTGGCATAAACGCAATTGTTTATACCAACCATCACTGAGACATTATCAGTACCAATTACAGCCAAATTCTTCAAGCCTAACTGTTTGCTGATTAAAAGGTCCTTCAGTTCCTAAACTATACTTTCTACACCACACTTTTCAAATTGAACTAGTCCAAGATTTTTTACAAATCGATCAAATGGTCACAGTTTGAAATCGCGCAGTGACAAATTAAAAACATTGCGACTGATACTTCAACTTTTGATGATTCATTTATCAGTATAGTTCTGAAAACAGATGTCAGCGGTGTAATATTTTTAAATGAAACTGCAGTTTTATGCTTTTTTAGTCTCTGCATGACTCCTTGAGTTTTGTATTTTCGCTTTAATTTCACACTTGCAGTACTTACAACAAGCTTTGGTCATATCCCCAGTTTGTAATTTTGTCATCATGCAACCACTCTTTCCAAATTTTTTTGCTCATACTTTACTTTTGGCATGTAGAAAGGTTTTTTTTCAAAGTGAAAGCCACATAAGAAGGAGAGCAATTATTTTTTTTAAATCACATGAAAAAGAAACGCAAAGTCAGCACAGTGAGGATACGGTTGAAACAAAGTTAGTATGATTTACGCGCGTTTTTATTAATAAGTACTGGGGCTGCCAGATATTTGTGCGTTGACCCCAGTGAGAGTTAAAAGTTCAAGTAATGGCAGTTGTCACAATGTACGTGCGAGACCAAAACAAAAATATTGTAGTAAATATTTTACACAGTAATTATTAAATTGACAATGAAAGAAAGAAAAAATCTATAAAATATCTAACTCCATATGAAAAGCGTCTAGAAAAATAATTACGATCTAAACGTCAAAAACAGTATCTAAATGCAATGAAAAAGATCTAAATTTGGATATAAAAGATCCAAAGTGGCAACACTGGGCTGGTCGTCTGCAGTCTGTACCACTAACTCCCGGCGTGGAAGAGTTACCCAACAGTTTCTCTACACCCAAAAAAGAAGAGCTAGATTACACATCAGGTAGGGAGAGTTACCCAGACGTGAGGACGGACTCTCTGTACACTCCACACGGGAGAGATAGAGGACAGGCCGGGCATAATAGTTACTAGACACACATTCATTTTAAATTCGTTTGCTGCCTCCGGAATCGTCTGCCTCAGATGACATTTTCCCCAACTGACACTTACGAATGAGTTTGCTTTGAGTTAAAGTCGCATTTTGTTTTAAGTAAGTTTATAAGTTGCGCTCGCTAAATATCTATTATTCTATACTACACTATACACACAACACACTGTTCCCACTGACTGAATCAAATCTCTCAGAGGTTCTGTTGTATTTTATTTTATTTTTTTACCACTTGATTGGGGAAAGTGGGTGGGGGTGGGACTGCGGATTTAAATTGAACTCCTTTAGGCCCATGAATTTGACAAACTTGGTTCACTTTAATTTCCCTTTACAAAATGGCAAAAGTATATATATACTATAAATTTTTATTTTTTTTACAGAGGAATGAATGTACATTTTGAATCTGATGATATAGTTTGTTTTCAATACTGTTAATAGTTAGTAGGAAAACAAACCCCCAACAAATCTTAACTTACAATCATTTTGCAGCCGCTAGAGCAGGGAATACAATATCCAAAGAAAAAAGAAAAAAACCACTTCATTACTTTAAACTTTGTTCAGTTTCCTAACAAATTCAAAATTATGAGATGGTTAGTTTATCATTCAGAGGCTCTGTGTTCTCATAGCATACTGAACAAAATTTCAAAGAAAAAAATCGCAGAATATTAGACGTACTACACACAAATATTAACTCTGTAGTTATATACAGACTATAGCGGCAATGATTTCAATACAGTTGAGCCATAGTATGAATATGGTAATGTCTAAAACAGTTCTTTGGATGTAAGTGTCAGTGACTATCACATCCTTCGAAAATAAAATGGATCCTCCTGGATTTACCTAATCAGAATGAACAGCTGACCGCTCAGCTGCCGCTTGTGTAAATTCACTGTCTGAATCACACATTTAAATTGTTTATTAGCATTATCACAATGAGTAAACATCTGACTGGAACAATTTCAGAGCTTCAGCCACAGAAAGGCGCAGCTTTCAGCCACAGAAAGGCACAGCTTTCAGCCTGTGCTTGTGTTTGCAACATTAGTATTATGGCAGTTGAACAGGAAATCAGAAAATGCAGTCTCAAAAAAAAAAAAGATGCTATCAATGAATCGGATCATTTTGTGGCCACAAATGTGCAGACTTGAATACAAAGAAAAATGCTAGAGTAACCTTCCTTGAAATTTAATTCCAAATATTGGAAATGAATATGGAGTCTTATGAATCAGTATGTACAGGACACACGATTGATGCTGACAGTGTTGTTTGGGCAAATGGGAACTTCTGAATCACGACTCATAGTGTTGCTCGGGCCTAAGAGAGGCTCTTGCAGTCACCATGAACTGTGCGGGTGTGGGCACACCAATTAGCACTGTGTGGGTGATGTGGTCAACACCACGCCAGCCACCTTGATTTCCTAGGACTTTACCTGCTGGATTGACCTTGGAGCCACTGTGGCTGCCCAGATGATCGTATAGTAGTAAATACAATAGTATTAACATTAGTTTGTCCATGTAGACTAGTAGATACTAGCAGTGGTCAGTCTCGTGCCAGTCATTGGTGCCGCAACCTCCACAGTCTGGCATCTTGAGCCTTCCCCCTTCCTAACAGAACATTTGCCGTGGGGGGGGGGGGGGGGAGCTAAGTAATTCCCCCCTCCCCCCACGATTTATAGACATTCTATGTAAGTATTCGTTTATAGATTTTCAGATTATTTTCAGTACATTAATTTTTTGCCATTCAGCACATTGCGCACTAAAACAAGGCTTGAGTAACCCCTTCCCCCCCCAAACAAAAAAACATTGTGTGAGCTAAGAGCCAACTCCCAGCCCACAAATATTGAGGGGGCTAAGTGCCTTCCACTCCCAGCCCACAAATATTGAAGAATTCCACTCCCAGCCCACAAATATTGAAGACTTCCACTCCCAGCCCACAAATATTGAAGCCTTCCACTCCCAGCCCACAAATATTGAAGGGGCTAAGTGCCTTCCACTCCCAGCCCACAAATATTGAGGGGGGCTAAGTGCCTTCCACTCCCAGCCCACAAATATTGAAGACTTCCACTCCCAGCCCACAAATATTGAAGACTTCCACTCCCAGCCCACAAATATTGAAGACTTCCACTCCCAGCCCACAAATATTGAAGACTTCCACTCCCAGGCCACAAATATTGAAGGGGCTAAGTACCTCCCACTCCCAGCCCACAAATATTGAAGGGGCTAAGTACCTCCCACTCCCAGCCCACAAATATTGAAGGGCTAAGTACCTCCCGCTCCCAATGATTTCTTTGTTGAGCCCTGACGATAGTCACCTTTACTTGACCTGTCTAAATGGAGGTTTGTGCCAGAGTGTCTTCTGTGAGCTGGCAGCTAAAATAGCAGTTAGAGTTTCCCTGGCTGAAGTTTTTCTCTACATGATTGATATTTGCAGATTGGCTGGTGCCGAGAGCTGACCACTATGATACAGCTGAAGAAGATCAACCCTAGTA